AAAGTCCCCTTTCTTCCTCATTTTGATGCTGGGTTTGAATCTAAACAGGCTGCGTTGACCACTTATGCCATGTGACTAGCTCATTAGATATTTGGGTTAACGAGTAAATGAAAAGATGCACCTAACAATGTGAGGTGTGAGGTGTAAATTACTAATCTATAAGAAAGTCTCTCTGAGGTTGTGTGTGTTTGGAAATATGGTTGAAAATCAAACCTGCTGGAGTCTCTACAGGGCTGCTTCCAGAAAGATTAGTAAAAACACTCCATGAGACGATGAAGTACACGTTTTTTTAAAAATCAGATGTAATATCCTGATCAATGAAAAGAAATGGGGTTGTTTCTTTTAAAAATCTAAAGAGATTCATATTTCTGTATACACTGGATTCAAACAGAGGCTTTTCGCTTTATTTCCCTCTGTCCAGCTGCTATGAGAGGAAAACCGGTAATTCTAGCTAGAATTTCTACACAGTTACATCTTAAGGTCAGTCAATCCATATTTCAGAAGTTTTTTTTAAACTGCTTTCTAAAACAGCCCAGCACATGATCTGTGGTCAGTTAATTTATTTGAAGCTTTTTTCTTTATTATGGATTTCAGACCAGCTGAACCAACATGGATCCAAACATTTTTTATGCTCCTCTTTCCTCTACTCTTACTTTTCCTTCTCATTTATTCTCCTGGATGTTTGTCTTTATCAGTGCCCTGTTCTTATGTCTCCCACACAGAGTGGTGCCTTTCTAAATTCTGTTTGCACTGCAGGTGTGTGCCTTTGACTAGGATGTTTGAGTCAATATTTAATTTTTGGCATGGATGAATGGTGTTGTCTGCAAGTCCTGTTCAGCAAGTGTCTGATGGCTTTGTGATAAAAGGGATAAATTAATGATCTACTACAGAGAAATGCATGTAGCCTAAAGGAGGGGTGTGAGGGAATATTACATAATGACTATAACAACAAGAGCACCCAGAGAGCACAACTGCCCTTGAAGGGCAAGCGCTAAACTAATACTTGGATGTTTTGGGATGTTTTCATTACAACATGTTGACATCCACCTGTTTCAATTAAAATAGGATAATTTCAGGTAGTTATGGCATCACCGTGATGTTGTATTACTCTATACAATTTCTTGAAAAATTTTTTCAAGGTTAGCTTTGAACTTGGGCACTAACAAGGTCAAATGCCTAGCCAACCCAGGGCCTTGTGTCCTCCAAAGATGAAGATGAAAATAGTATAAAATAGAATGCTTTTATTCTATTCATCCCCACCACCACTGAAAGGAGTGAGTATGCAATCATACTTCAGGTGAACACATTTCTCACATGTAAGGGTAGGCATCCATCCTTCCTGGCATACATCTTGATGTCAGAGAGGATATAGCTAAAGACTGCTCCATTCCATAATATGTGTAGCCACTCTTTTCAGTTATCTCGGTGAGGGTGTTCAGACCTATGTAGCACAGCAGTGGGGGCAGAGCATTTCCTCAGTAAATCCCACACTTGATGGCGACTTTTGCAATTGGCATGATTTTTGTATGGAATTTTTTTTCTTCAAAAACCTGGATTAATTCCATATTCAATTTTGAAGCAATAAACTGCACCAGAAATGCCAGATGTAGCAAAATTGATATAAACTAAAGCTCCTATCTGCAAACTGACTGAGGGGGTTTAATAAGGCCAGTGTGTCATCCCCAAACAAACTACAGTGTAAGGGAAATTCAGGTGAGAGGAATGTAACATCAGAAAGCAGCTTTAAGTCGATTTTTATATAAATGAATACATGTATATAAATATGCAATCGTTACTGCGGGCCACCTGCAGTACCTTCGCGGACCACTAGAAGGCGCGTGCACACTGGGGATGAGTGCTTTGACATGCTTCCTGGATTTTAAGGTCAGTCAGCGCCGGTGTTGTGCCAAAAAGTGATTGTCTGCCAAAAAGTGATTTCCGGTATTTGCCAAAAACTGATTGCTCGTATTTAAACTGCTATAAGTAACTTGTTGGGCTATAATATGAGAAACATATATTAAATGCATCCCTCATGGATGACATAAAGTCATATTGAGCCACAAACAGTATTCGTGTAACAAGGTAGAAGCCGCAATCAGTTTTTGGCAGTGACTTTTATATAACCTTTATTTATGCAGTTAAAAAAATCATTAACATTAAAAATGTCTTTTGTAAGAAGTAGTTGGACAGCAGAAATTGCAGCAAATATTACAATAGTTCTGTAAAAATATTTTCAGCGAGGATAAAGGACCGGATTGGTTATAATGTAAGTACAATAACACAAAGCTGTAAAGATACTTGAAAAAAACAGATAATTTTTTAATTCTATATATAATCCCTTTGTAAACGCTGTTCACCGAAGTCTATTTACCAACATACATAAACATATTACACATAAAAAATACACGGAAACATTGGTAATCAGTTTTTGGCAGGCAATCACTTTTTGGCACAACACCGGTATTAAGAGTTTGGACGCTGAAGGTAGAAAGAAACGCGAGATTAAAACGACTACAAATAGAAGCCATGGATTTTGGGCGTTTGGATCACGGGCTTTGCCGGTTGGCATTAGTGAGACAGGAATTGCCCCGCAGATAGGCGGCGGCATGGTGACAGGACGGTTCATGGCGGGTGAGGATCGGGAAGTGGGAGAAGCAGAAGAGAGGAAGGAAGTTTTTAGGAACACGGAGCAGCAAACGAAGTTCATAGAGGAAAATAGCTCAGGTGAAGGCAAGTGTAGGACAAAAAAGATGATCAGAGAAGAGTTTGCAATAATCTTTTAATACCAAAAATCATTTGAAACAACCCAGCAGTAGGGTTACAGGTAGACGGAGAAATGCCAGTTGACACGGACAAGATCATCCAACACAAGATGTGCTTAAACCCTGCTGGGAAGAGGAAGGAGGGATAAAGAGCTCTGTGTGGACAGTGAGTATCGTTTTAAACTTGCATGCATGGGTCAGTTTTACAGTTATGTCCAAATATATACAGATGCACCAAAGTCAACAAACCCATCTGGAATGGCATTTGTTGCACATGGTTTTCATGCCAAAGCAGGAAAAGGAGGTGTTGGGGTCAGTGGAGGATCTAGAGAAAGTTTCTTAGGGTGACAAAGTCAAAGCCATTTCTTTACACATATGCAGGTGTTATATTCTTTGTGTGCTATATCATTGGTTAAAATACATCAAGTACAGCAAGTATACACATACACAGAAATAATCTTTTTTTTTTTCATGCTTAAATTTACAAAAAATGTCAAAAATCTGCACTGTCATGAACAAACCTCATTTTTTCATGATTTATTAGGTTAATAACTCACACCTTCATGGCTTTTCCAGAGTTTAGCAGTCAAGCACCTGTGTTGTAATCTAAATTGCCCATGATACTGATTAATAAATAAATATAGAAATAAAAATGTTTCTATATTTATATAAATATGGAAATAATGCAGTTTCAGATATGAGCTGAACAATTTTTTTAAAAAAAATGGGAGACAGTAATATAATGCAATATATGCAGTTTTTGAATTCATATTCTGTGTTATTTGTAGCTAAGCTCAAAGTCTTAGTGCTAGCTTATATTAATAAGCAATATTGTCATATGCAAAACTTGGGTGCCACACACCACCCCAGTAGATCGGCCTCTGGTTGGGGCGTCAGTATACACAGGAGAAATGCTTTCAATACTTTTTACCTACTCAATAGAGAAGACACAAGGCCATAAAGAACAGTGATATGCCTAGAGTCAAGTTCATCATTAACCGGTTTACAGTGCTGTAATTCAGACAGCAGAGCAGACATCCTGATAGAAATTCACAAAACACTTGATTTGGCTTAAGGAGACCTTTTTTGGGTACCAGCACACTGTGGGGTTAAAGGGAATGAAAGCCACAAAAAGTCTTTCAGAGGATGTGGTTATCGGTGTCAGCGGGACAACGAAAAAGGGCATAATAAAGCAGAAAATGAAGGAAAGGTGGCAAAAGCAATGGTACGAAGAAAGAAAAGGAAGATGGTTTTACAAAATCCAAAGGAAAACAGCAGAGATGAGACGAGACAGTTAAATCACAACTTAGATTTGGGCAGCAGGTTATTTTTAACAGGAAATAGCCATACAGGAAAATGGGACTGTAATATGGCCTGGTAAATGGCCTGTATTTATATAGCGCTTTACTAGTCCCTAAGGACCCCAAAGCACTTTACACATCCAGTCATCCACCGATTCACACACACAGTCACACGCTGGTGATGGCAAGCTACATTGTAGCCACAGCCGCCCTGGGGCGCACTGACAGAGGCGAGGCTGCCGGACACTGGCGCCACCGGGCCCTCTGACCACCACCAGTAGGCAACGGGTGAAGTGTCTCGCCCAAAGACACAACGACCGAGACCTTTACAGCGTAGCGTGACTCCATGTTTTATTGCAGTGTCAGAAGCATGATGATGAAAGAAGACAACTGATCAAAAAGCTCGACGATATTAAAGTAAAACTGAACTTGGTTGATTTATTTCGCAAGAACTCAATGAGTGAAAGCTAGCAGGCCATATTTTCGTTTTTAAGGTAGACTCGTTTGTTTGGGAGGATTTTTTTTATTTATTTTGTCATTTCGGTCCACACTCCACGCCAGTTGGTGGCGGTAATGCACCATTTTGCTGTTTGCTAACCGCCAATAAACCGTATAAAGAAGAAGAAGAATTTGTTTGCAGCAGCTTCATTTCCTCCCTTTTGCCCCAAAAGTCTGTTTTTAACCACAAGAACCGCTTTAATGTCCGCTAAGCGAAGACACGATGACAACGATGCTGACGGAGCTGCTTCTTCCGACATGAAACAGAAGAAGAGACAAGTAGCTGCTTCTTCCAACAAGAACCAGAAGAGACATGTAGCTGCTCTCATTTTGGCACGGGGGGGAAGCAAAGGCATTCCGCTTAAAAACATCAAGCCCTTAGCCGGTGTCCCCCTCATGGGATGGGTGCTGAGGGCTGCTGTGGACTCCGAAGTGTTTGATAGGTACGTTGCAAATGTGTGACGGTGATTTCAAACTGAATTAGAGCTGCAAGGAGCTCATATCTCTGTGTCTGCTCCATGTCCCGTGTGGAACCACCAGTTCAAATTGGATCCACATGGGATGATCATTGTACCCTACTACGCATTTCCCTGTTTCTTATAGGTGGCACTCTTTAAGTATTAATGGCTTATCAATCTACTCTGAGTCGGTGTTCCAGGCTAACTGATTTTTACGGGTTATTATTACTGGTTAGATTTGTTTACATATTCCACTCTCCGTGTTGCATCCACAGATTCGTCATATACACAATCAAGAGGGATATATAAAAGAAGAGAGAGGGAGAAATTGGAGAACAAAGTGCTTTGAAGTAGCGCAAAGGACT